GCTTGCATTTTAATTATGATAAAGTGCTGCTAATGTGCCATTCATTGGCCATATAAATGAGGCGTGGCACGTTTGCATGTGATTAGTGAGCAGCTGACAGGGGTAAAAAATAAAAATAAAAATAAAAATGAAGGCCCCAAAGACCTTTGACCTAGCACGAGAATTAAAGTCTAGCTAGCAAAAATTTAACTTTTTTCGACCAAAGACATCTGCTAATGGATTAACTCTGTTTTATAGTCAACTAATTTTAGTTTTCCCTGCCTTGGCAAAAGGAAAATTTGTCATTGAATGCAGCTAAATTAGAATTGATGCGCTTTGCCTGATGCAGCTGCATTTGTATTTTCTTTCGGCTTATGGGAAATTGTCTACAATTTCATTGAGCTGAGAGCAAATCAAATTGCTGCCTAGGCAAGTCAATTTATATTGGAAGCATGACAAGAACTGACAATTTGCATAGACTCGCATTACWGTGCAATGTGTGTGTGTGTGCAATTGGTTGATGCTACAAATGTGGCAGCACAGTCTCAAGCGCCCGCCACATGCCTAGCCTAGCCTAGCTACTATGGGCAAAATATCTAGAGATTTGGTATTGTTTATAAAAGTTTTTTTTTTTTTTTTTTTTTTTTATACATATTTCGTTTTTTATAAAATAGATATTTTTTTGGGAAGGTGCAATGTGAATGTGATTTAATTAAAATAATTAAATACAACAAACTAAGATTTTACTTTGTCTGTAGTATTTCGAATCACTAGGCATTTCGCTAGTGAATTGGAATTTTTTACGGAAGGTTTTCAAGAAAAATTGAAAAGTTGAATATAATTTAAATAAAATTAAGAGTGAAAATTTAAATGTAATTTAAATTCAAAAATGTTAATATTAATATTTCGAATAACTAGACCTTATTGCCTAAAGTCGCATACTCCCGCCTCATGCCTGGCCTAACCACTATGGAAAATACTTGAAGATTTCGAATTTTTTTATGGATTTTTTTTTTTTTTTTTTTTTTTTTTTTTTTGAGACAAATTGAAAAGTTGAAATTGATTTGAATAAAATCAGGAAGCGAAAATTTATATTTTATTTAAATATAAAAATCAAAGTTTTACTTTGTCTTTAATATATCGCCTCCTGCAAAACCCCTCCTGCAAACCCCCAGAATATTTTTGGCACTGAATCGAGGCACTGAACTAGAGAGTTGATAAATGGCTTATGGAACTCTGGGATGCCTGAATAAATATATTTATTTGTTTATAGTAGTTGGGAATAATTAAAATGAATATTAACTAAAAAAATAATTCAAATGAATACTAACTGAGTAACACTAACTAACAGTGGCTCATCGAAAAAATTTGAAATTAATTGATTTTATTTACTTGAAGTAAATTATATAATATAGAACATATATAAAAGTATATACATAGACATATAATTATAAACATATATATAATAGATAATAGATAAACATATAATATAATATATAAGCTTTCCATAAGTGTTAGCTGTTTAGATATTCATGTAAGGCTTCAGCAGCTCTAATTTTATGGCCACAAAAATGTGTATTTCGTCCACAGTGCAACGACTACTTCAGCTTGGCTGTCGGATTACGTTCGTCTAATTGAAATCTATGCGGGCTCGCTGCATATCTCTGAGCGCAGGACGAGGCGTTAGTTGTTATTAGTTGTTGTTAACAGCAATTACACGCACACGCACTCGCACACACACACGCACACATATGCACTCACACACACAAGCGCTCTCATTATGTGCCAAAAATGAGGCATATTTGTAGAGATGCGACGCAAAAATTTTCCAATTTTCTCTGGTTTTTTCTTCTGTTGCTGCTGCTGCTGTTGTTGTTGTTGTTGTTGTTGTTGTTGTTGGTTGTAATTGCCGGCAGTTGTTGCTGTTGTTGAGGTCACATTGAACGTCAAAGGCAAAAGTTTGGCAGAGCGTTAATTTCGCTTGCCCATAAACATGCAACATATGCGTGGCAGGCAAAGGGGCGTGCCCCGTGGCAGGAAGGGAAGGGTCGCCGCGCCGTCCTGCACTGCATTTGCAACCCTAATAAAGCGCAGCGGTTGCTGCCACACGTGGCCCAGCTCTGATAACAGACGCGCCTGCCTGCCCGCCTGCCCGCCTGCCCGCCCGCCCTACAGATTGCCTGCCTGCCTGCCTTCCAGGCAGCCTGGGCAATGCCCATGTCCTCGGCCTTTGGTTTGTCCTGTTTGCCTGGACTTCGTGGCGCACTGTGTGATTTATGCACTAAGCAACGGCTCGTCTATGCGCCGCACCCGCTCGCGCCCCCCTCGAGCCATGCGAAAAATGCAATTCTCATCTGATTGTTGCTGCTGCTGCCGCTGCTGTTGCTGCTGTGGCATGTTTGGCATGTGGCATCCACGCGAGATGCGCACGGTACATGCCACTTGCAGCAAGTGCCACAAAAACATTGACACATCGTTTACAAGGCCAGCGCAGAGCGAGCGTAAGGCAGAGCAGACTGAGCACAGACACTCACACACACACACACACACACACATAAATATATACATATATATATAAATTTGCGAAATTTGGAGCCTGGGCTGCAGCTGGCTGCCCCGCTGCGGATCGTGCCACAACAAACAGCAACAACAACAACAACAACATGACAATGAACACACAAGCAAAACAAATGAAATATGAAATAGAAACGCTACCCCTAAGGCAGCAGCAGTGCCTGTCGCCCAACCCCCCTCGCCACACCCCCCGCGACTCGACGGCTCACAATCGCCTCGATTCTTTTGAAAATGCTTATCAAATTAATTTCGCTTAAATTCGCGTTTATTGTTTGAGCTGAGAGCGCTGCTCTCAGGCAGGGGGTTAATTGCGAGGGTTTAGCTGAGCTGAGCCATTACAACTAGTTGCCTCTCGCTCACACTCACTTCCACTACAGCTCGCACTCTCTCTCCCTCTCTCTCTCGCTCTCTCTCTCTTTGGTCTGGTTATTTCTTTAGCTGACTTTCCTTAAGCGTTGCAGTATTGATTGCATGTTTGTTGTTTGTTGTTTGTTTGCCGTTGTTGTTGATGCGATGCCCTGGCCAAAGGTAAAAGGAGTCGATTTCCAGCGAGGGTTGGCCCAACAGTTGCCAATTGATTGAAATTGCGCTCGCGCTGCTCTACGTGTGCCCTGCACTCCACACGTGTCCGCTGTTGTTCAATTATGTTTAAGCCAAATCAGCAGCGCAAACACTGAACGCCGCCCGCTCGACCCACTGGAGCCACTCTCTAATATATGTGTATTATGTGCAGGAGGAAGAAGCAGAAGGAAATCAAATCTTTCACAAAAAGAGCAACCAACGCCTTGCCTACCCCCCCCCCCCCCCCTCTCTGGGCGCGTTGCAACCCCCGCAACATTCAAAATGCCATCGCCAATTTTTAAGTCGAAAACTAAACACACGCGACTCGAAACGTCGTCTGGATTGAAATTGAGTCGTTTAAGCCGTACCCCCGGCCACCCTGCACCACCCAATCATCCAGCCACCCACACCCACACCCATACCCTCAGCCTCAGCAACCCCAACGAACTCGCAGTTCATCATTCATAGAGCAGCCCAACCCTCCCACGCCTTCAGAACTCACTGCCAACAGAATGTAGCCGAATGTTTTCTTTTCCTTCTTCTTTTAATATTTTGGCATGTCAAGAGCAAATCGAAAATGAAATATTCCCTAAGACTTTTGCTAATTGACGGCATTTTTCAATAATACAAAGAAATTTTTATAAATTTTAAATTAGATTTTCCATAAAAATACGCAAAAAATTTCTGAAAACATTTCGTCGTTTCGAGAATAGGAGCTAGTTCTATTCCAGTGATGAATCTAGATCATGATCCATAATATATATAATTATATGTTTACGTAATTATATTAGATAGTATATCTAGATTTAAGCCAAATCATTCTGCACTAAATTTCGATTTTCAGTGGCTGGGAAAAAAATTCTTAAAGTATTTTTCTTCTCTCTATCTCGAGATCAACTCATCCAAAGTTATCCCGATCAAGCATATATATAAATTTATATATAATTTATGATAACGCCTATGCCGCTTGCTCCTGCTCGCCTCCTGCTACCTACATATTAGCCAAATCTCAAAAGCAGAAATTCCCATATTCAGTGGAATGTTTCTTCTGCTAGGGTAAAGTAGCTCTAATCCTGAGATCAAGATATGATTATTTTGTTTTCTGGTCTCGGCCACGCCTCCTCCCGCCTATTACACACATTGCAGCCAAATGCCCATTCTCAATGGGTATCTAAATGCTCAAGCAATCAATATGATGTTCGCAAAATTCGGTGCAATAAATTTTTAATACTTTTTCTATGCTTAATAAAAACATGTATAAAATGCTCATAAATATCAAAGAGAAATATATATTGTTGAGGAACATCAATCGGAAATATGTTTAAAAATAAGTCAAATCGCATAAATCACGAGCAGATGAATTGCTGCGATATAATTGGAACATTTCCAGATTTTAGAAATGAAATGTTTGTTTTTCTTTTTAAGCTAATTTCAATTTTCAATCAAATCACAATTCAAACGCAATTTAGTAAAGGCTCAAGTGTAGTTTCTCTCAGTGTACTACTATTTTTTTCAGTTAGAATCGAATTTCAATTCAAATTCAATTTAGTTAAAACTGAAATCTATTTTTCTTATAGACTGAAATCTCAATTTAAATTTAGCAAGAACTCAAATGTAGTTTCTTTCAGTGTATTACTCATTTTTGCACTTGGAATCAAAATCTTAAATTGAACTCAATTTAGTAAAAGCATAATTTTTGCCTTTATATGAAATCAAATGTTGAGTCTAGTAAAAGAGGAGTTTCAATTTCTCGCAGTGTACTATTCACTTTTGCAGTTATTTCAGTTGCCGCTCAATTTGGTAAAAACATAAATCCGCTCTTGATATAGATTAAACTCTATATAAATGTAGTAAAAATTCTGTCTGGTTTCTCTCAGTGTACTCACTTTTGCACTCGTTGGCGTCCCGTGCCGTGGCTCGTCCCCAGGGCCGATCGAAGTGGAAGGGCTTGCAGCGCTCGCAGTCGCGTCCGTCCGTATTGTGGCGGCACTCGCATCTCAGCTGGCCGCTGGCATCCGGCGAGCACTTGGAGGCGTGGCCATTGCACTTGCAGCGCCCGCCCACGGAGAAGTCGGAGACGGCGTAATGCAGTCCGGCTGCCGCAGTGGCAGCCGCCGACGCGGAAGCAGCGGCGCCAATGGACTCGATGTTGTTGGACGCCAGCTGGACGCTGTATTTGCCGGTGCGGAGGTCGGCGGGCGCGTCGATGTTGAGCAGCGCCTGGGGATCGGGCTGCTGCAGGCGGTAGAAGACAATGCGTATATCGGTGGCCGTCACCCAGTCCTGCAGCACGGGCGACGCGTCCAGATCCCGGGCCGAGGGTCGGCCCTCCAGCGTGCTGAAGGCGATGCGCGAGGCCATGCCGCCGCCGCTGCCGTTGGCGTCGTGGCCATGTCGATGGACGTCGCTGCAGCGCGCCTCCTGCTCGTTGTGCTTGGTGACGGAGGTGCGAGCGGGCCGGCCGAAGAGGCGGCGGCACTGCGAGCTGTAGTACTGGAACGGCTGCCAGCTGCGGCCGTAGTCGGAGCTCTTGTAGATGACCAGGGAGTCGGGGCGTGGGGCACGGGGACAGAACTGCAGACTGACATAGGTTAGCTCGTACTTCTTGCCCAGGGACAGGGTCAAGGTGACATTGTCGCCCCACTGGCCACCGCCGGCATAGCTGGAGCCGGGCGCTATCGGTGCCGATCGCCAGCAGGTGACGTTGTTGGAGTTGTTCAGATCGGTGAGGGCGCGTGGCGGAAAGCTGTTCGCCTCGCAGCTGTGGCACTGCAAATCGCCGGCGCTGTAGCCGGAGCCGGAGCCGGAACCGGAGCCAGTCGCGCGGCTGCCCTGATCCTGGAACTCGCAGTAGCGCTGCGGCTGCTGGGCGCCACAGGTGCTGCTGGCCACGACGGGCGCATCGTAGGCGGCGTTCACAAAGTCCGGAATGCAGGCGCGTGCCTTGTCGTAGTCGTAGCACGGATCCTCGACACGGGGCATGGCCAGCATTTTGAGGAACGCATCGTTGGGCTTGGCCAGCGCTGAAATCGCGCCCAGGCTCAAGAGAAACAGTTGCCAGCGTTGCATGGCGCAGTTCACAATGCGAAAATCACACACAAATCACACGAAAAAAAATGTATATATATCTCACTGTTAACTGTTAATTGTTGCTAGTTGAATTGCACAAGCACAGAAATACACTGAATTGTTCCGTTTACACAGTTTGCCAGGCAGCGTCCTGAGCAGCACGCGCAAGCGTTTTTTGGTGCATGGGCTGAGGGCGTTTTAAATCGCGCGCGAGTCGCGTAGGTCGTGGTTGTCGTTGCTCTGCTTGTCGTCGTCGTTCGGTCTTCGGTTAACGTCAAGTCGGCCTGCCAGTTCACAGTCGACTGTGTAATCGTCGGGCACGAAGCGCGCGCACCAGCCCACGAAGTCAGCGGCCGTTTGCCTGGTGTGGCTGTGTGTGTGTGCGCGTGTGTCTGTCGCTGTCGCTGTGTGCGTGTGCAGCATTTGATCGCGTCTGCATTCGTATGTTTGGCAACATATGTTGCCAGCCAGAGCACAGCATCCACACTGTTGCTGACTGGCTGTGTGTGTGCAAACTCACCACGACGTGCTCTCGCTCTCGCTCTCGCTCTCGCTCTCTCTGTCTCTCTTGTTCGTTTGGTTCGTATACTCACTCACGCTCTCGATTTGGCTTGCGCACTCAATGTCGCTTGGCAACATTTTTGCTTGCAGGTGGTTGTTGTTGCTGCTGCTACTACTGCTGCTGCGCTGGCAACATTTGTTGCTGGCGCGTTTTGCATCGCTCTGCATTTATTTTATTGCCCACTTGGCGACACATTTTGTGGCAGGCTGCTGCTGTTGATTGTTGTTTGTTTGTTCGCTCGTCTCATTGTTTGTTGTTCTTGCAGCCATCAAAATCGCACCCAACCACATTGCATATCAAAACAACGCCAAACGCGTCGGCCTGTCCCGGGTCACGGGGCAGAGGCGAGGCACACAGTAGGCGTCGCTTATGTCTTGTGTTTGCCTTTCGATTGCTATCGATAATGAAGTCGCCAAACGGCTGCGGCCTAAGTTATTAACTTGTCGTTAATGAAAATCATCAATTTTGAACTAAAACGTGAGACGGCCAAAGGGTGGCAATAACAGAGGCAGACCTAGGGGCGGGGTCCGTGGCAGACAGACAAGTAAGGGGCATTAAAGGGCACAAAATTATGTGATGCGTGTATGCGATGGCTTCATTAATATTGCGGCTGCTGCGGCAACTCCTCTGCTGCTGCTGCTGCTGCTGCTGCTTCCATTGCCTGCGTCGCTCTGATAAGCGCTTAACTTTCGGCTTAAACCGCCTTTCCACTCTGGTCTGAAGCTTTGTTTACTTTTGTTTTGTAATTAGCTGGAAATGCATTTTGACTGCAGTCGGCCGTATCTTTGGCGTAGGCGTGCCGCGTGGGCGTGGCATTGACCGCCACAGCCAAACCGAGCGCTAATTGTACAAATTCTCACGTATTATGCAATACRCAGACAACAACAACAACAACAACGACGACAACAACGAACTAACATAGCTCTAAAATACCCCAATTAAAATGTCTGATTTAATTTCTCTCAAATATATTATTCAAATATTATCGTACGTTTCGCACTCCAAACTAATGAGTTGCCATTCACATTTAATTAGAGTTTAATTGTCAATAAAACACCCGCAACAATTGGTAGCCATGAAACCCAAAACCAAATGAGCAGCACAGCTCACAGAGTCTATTGGCCAAATTTGCCAGCCGAATTTGGCTCATTAGCCGACTGCAACCAGTTGAGAATCGCAAGGCAAACTATGAACTACGCTTCGAACAGCAAAGTGAGCAGAAATGCATTTTACTATGGAGTCAATTTTGATTTGGATATGTAATATGATAATTATAAAACATCATTTATTGTTTCAATTACATTGTCAGAATGAGTAAATAAATTCATCACAAAACAAGTACGAATCATGTTAGTAAACTCTAGGAGATCCCCGAACCCCGAAAGATCTGGGCATTTACTTTTTTATAAATAAAACAAAAATGGAATAATAAAAATCTATAAATATTCTGAAATTCAAAATGGCGTATGATATGATATGATATATGAAAATACTTTCGATTTGAAGCATTTTATCACAGATGAACCGGTCTATATCGATCTTGTGTATATAGAGTGTATAAAGACTGCCATGTAAAGTAAGTTAAAGAGTCTCTTCCTCAATGTATTCCAAGTTTCCATATCAATGTATTCCATGCATAGACCCAACAAATGTTGCATATAAAACACATCCTTTATCTAGTCATAGAGACAGCTTCCGCTCATTCCACACACCCGTCTACACCTGGGCCGACTATCGTATACCTTGCTGCACTTCAATAAATATCGATTGTATGCACTGATAGCAATTATCTCTTTGGCCATTCGCTCAATTATTTGAAATGAAAGCCACTCATTAGGGCGGCTCATTATGTGAGCTATTGCCTCAAGGAGGCAAGGTAATTGCTAACAGTTGCATACGACACCCAAACAGAGAGAGGGAGAGAGAGAGAGAGAGATAGAGAGAGAGACACTCTCTGGGCTTAGAGGAGCTCATTTCCGCTTCCTTTGTTGTGGGTCAACTTCCTCAGCTGAGGCTGGAGCTGGATTCATATCTGTGTGGGTCTCATGTGCCATTAGAACTTTTGCTTTATTACTTTGGCGCCACTACGTACGTGTGTGTGTGTGTGTGTGTGTGTGTGTGGGAGTACAACTGAAAGGCAGCTGCTCGAAACTTTGGTGCTTAATGAAAATTGCATTGTGTGTCGTTGTGTGGATTTTGGATTCTGATTTCGAGTGCCGTCCACAAAGGCCGCTCTTTGTGCCGAGCGGTGGGGCCAAGGGCAAAGTCCAAGCGGCTGGCTGACTGTTTGCATTGTTGTTGTTGTTGCTGTTTGTTTGTCTTGTTTTGTTTTGTTTGTCTCGTGGCCGGCCGGCGGCAAGATTTTTAGATTATGACGCTTTTGCCAACATTCCCCAACGACGAGGGCCAAACAGTTTAGTCAAACGCAGCTCAACTTGTCTCGTCGCCACTTTGTTCATTGTGTGCTCTCGCTCCCACTCACCCGCTGCCCCGCTCCCCCGCTCGCCCTGTCACTCTTTCAGTTTATTGGCGACATCAATAAAATGCGACATTGAACCAAGTGAACCCCCACTCTGCCCCCCCCCCCTCCCCTCCCTCTTTCTGGTGTGCAGCCTGTGTATTCACACGGATGTAACTCACAGGTAAAACAGCTCACCTGACCGACCACCCATCCCAGCCGCTTGCCTCCCTGCCGCCCCCTTTTCTGTCTCTATGCGAACGGGTCAGTTTTTGGTCAATGTTTATCTCAGCATTTTGTTTGTCTTTTCGCAAAAGTGTTTGGTTGTTGCTGTTGGCTCAGTTTGTTGCATTTGTATCTCGATTTTATTGCCGAAGCTGCGAACATGTGAAAGCCATTTGCCGCCCAAAAGATGACAGAGAGCGAGCAGGAGAGAGAGAGAGGGTTGGCTAGAGAGAGAGGCAGATCGGATTTGGGGGCCATGCCGAGTGCCCCACCCGCGCCGCAGGCGGAGGCGGGCGGCATCGCAGCTAAACGCACAGATAGATGACTAGATTCCTATCAGCGTCAATAAATAAAGTTTTTAAATGGAACAAGAAAATAAATATATGTCTCCGAGTGTCTCCTTGTTGTCACAGTGCACATCCAGGCGGACATAGAGACAGCCGGCCAGCCAGACAGCCAGGCAGTTCCATGCACAGTGGTTCAAACTGCGCCAAATTGTTGCATCGATTGATTTGCTCTCATATGAAAGTAAGTGATCGATAAGTCAATTGCTCCAATCGGAATAATTTAACCAGTGATTTATCGATTAATCGATATTTCGTTTGGTTTCATGTCATAAAGGAAGACAATCCAATCCGATAAATATAAATTAATTTTAATCGAATGTTTGATGGTAGCCAACAAACAATTTTAATCGATTGGCGATATATTTCTGTATACATATTTATATGGCATATAAAAAGTCATCTAAAATATCGTTATGTTCGTATTTATTTGATATGGAATAACTGATATTAGCTGAAAAACTATAAATAGAAAACTATTTGATATCGAATATTATTGCTCATTGTCATTATCATTATCATTAATTATCAAATCATTCCACATGGGGCCACAGCTTTCGACTATTGTTATCGTTTATCGCCTATATCATTATCGCGGACAAGTGTGATATATCGATACAGTTTAAAATCTATGTACAGTTAATCGATAAACGGCTTTAGCTGATAGAAATGTAACGGATCATAAGCCAGCAATATACAATATTGGGTATCGAGAATCATTTCCGGTACTAAGCATAGTTAGTTTATTAGCTTTAGTTAAACGTCTGTTTCTACAGTCGATATTTGCCAGTAATCGATTTTACCACTGTGCAATTGTAGCCCAGAGCCACAGTTTGTCTCCGTTGCCAGCTTCTTTTCATATTGAAAAAGTTTTTCGAGTGTCTATCGCAGTGTCTACCGCTGCCCGCTCGCACCGCTCGCTATTCGCAGACTCCTGCTCGGTGGGGTCTGCGGGCTCTGCGCGCTCTGCTCCCACGATGCTCTGTCCACGACGTCTGTTTGGCTGTTTGTTTGTGTGTCTGTTGCTGCAACGCTTTGTCTCCTGTCTTGTGCAATATGCGTCGTGTCTTGGCTGCCTGCCTTGGGCCTCGGGCCCAGGCGGCTTACCTACACCCAGATTTCAGATGGAGCTGCAATTGCAGGCGCTGCTGTTGCCAAGCCACATGCCCACACACACACGCACACACACACACACAAACATAGATATAGATACACGTATGCAGCTACTTACATTGATTTTATAATTAGCCATGTCAGCAGACAGAGGGAGATGGGGAGGGGGAGAGGCGGAGCGGTGCTCCAGTACAGGAAGGAAGGATGTTGGCAGGGAATTCAAAGTCAACTCGTGCTAATAAAAACAGCCAATTACCTTCAAGACTCATTAAGTACTACAACCATTTTAGCCCGCAGTCAGCACGGGCTGTGGCTCTGGCTCTGGAAGTGGTTGTGGCTGCTGCCGCTGCTGCGGCTCTTTTAGTGGCATCCACAGCAAAGGGGTGTTCGGTCTGCCAAAGGGCTCTGCTGCCTCTACTGTTAGCTGACCGTTACAATCGAATTAGGCGCCGTTCGCAACGTTAAATGCAATTAAAACTAGAAGATGTTGATTACATTAGAAGTGCAGGCAGTCACGACCCACTGACGGCAGCAACGGTACATAGCAGAGTGTGAAAAACGAGAGAGAGAGAGAGA